GTATTTTAATTAATTATTGTCCACTATTTTATTGTTATTCTATAGCCTTTGGGTTCCTATCCAAGAACTTTCCAACCCCTTTTCAGCCTTTGGAAATGAAAAAAAAGCTTTTTATTACTTATTTTTAAAATTGTGCATATCCTTTACTATGACCACTTGGATAATACAGCAAACCTAGCATTCAATTCAGATAATGATGCCTGCCTCTCCATTAGTAACTAATTATTAATTTGGAACATGATGCATTTTATGTTTTCGTGGCTCCCTCTTGTGGTTATTTCTTTCATTGCAACTATACACCACCATAAATGCACCACAAGACGAAAATCTATAAAATATTATTGTGTAATCAAAATAAAAGTTATGACATATTACCTTGCCCTGCCACCCATTTCTTTACATCCACACATCACAACATTGTCGATCCACACCCTTCCTCGCTCCTCACCATGAACTAATACTGTCATAACATTGTTGATTTAAAGTTGTGATCCATGAGCTTGATCCAGAAACCTGAATGTGAGAGTGAGAATGATGATGATGTTTGGAGAAAAAGTAATGCTTTGTTAAAATTCTTTAATATATGATGCTGATGTTCATTCTTAATGTTTGTCCATAAAAATATAAACTCTCATTCAGCAACCACTTGCTATTAAGATCAGTGGTTCTCACCCTGTGCTACAGAGGTACAACAGAATGCAAGTTTCTTTTACAAAAAAACCTAGATAAATTAAATACATATAGATATAAATAGGGGATATAAAAGGGGAAAAAACAGGTTTTGGTGTCATATATTGGTTTCTCCTTGATCTGCAGCAAGGTTAGACCTATTTTCATAGACAAAAACCCTCCACAGGGATGAACGTCATCACTGTGCAAACAACGACACCAAATACATAAGTATACTCCTACGTTTTGGCACCTTGTATAAAGACTGCAGTTGTGTTCAAATTTTACAAGCAAGGAACCAGTTATTTAAAATAATATTAAAAATGATGTGATTATTGTAACAACAACAACAAAGCTTTCACAGCAGACAGTTTTTCTCTTTTGCTCTCCCTCTAAACATGCATGCACACGGAATCACACTCGGTTTTCCCATGCAGTACTGATTAATTTCAAAAGGTGGCAGTACATGTCAAGTATCATATCTACCATTATACAAGCATCTTTCAAACTTTTCCTCTCCAGCATCAGGAGTTTCTGACCCTTTCCTCAGTCTAAGACACATTTGGGTTAAATTAAGCTTTGTAAATAGCAACTAAATCTCATTAAGTGTGCAGCTTGTCCCATGCATACCCTGGGTTTTCCACTTGCTTATTTTATTGCTTGATACGTCATTGTTTCTCCCTGGGAAACCCTACTGTTTCTTGCTGCTTTCTGCAGGAGGTACTGAGCATAGACTCAGCTACAGACCCTAGATAAGATGATACTGTAGAAATTCAGCAAATCTCTCAATGACAATTCATTGGCATTCATCTGGCACTGACACTAAAGATTGAATCCAAGTTTGCCAGATTTGCACACACCACCCTCATGCCTCAGTTATGATTTCCACTTCAACTAACTTGTGCCTTTTAACTATCATCAGATGTAGATTTGTCCTTTTCACAAAGAGTATTGGCATCCCCAAAACATGAAATAGCATTGTTATTTTGATTTAGCAGCCCTACTTTTATAGATATCTGTTGCTGATCTAACATGCCAGGCTGTCAGTGTTGATGTATAATTCTTTGGAATATTTTCGAATCAAAGAGGACATTTTCTCTTTGTAGATTTCCAGATTCAACCTCTCAGATCTTGAGCCATAGAGAGAGGACGGTTGTGGAGCTTTAGAGATGGAAATTATCATGGATCAGTGGGATTGCTGACAGGACATCTCCAAAGGCTGATCTTTAAAGAGCTGGAAGCCACTATACTGGGAGGGAAGAGTCCAGTAGATGCTTCTGGCATTGGTGTCTCAGTTGGAGACTCCAACGGCCTCATGAACCCCAGACCTCTTATTCACCCAGCTGATGACAGAACATCTTCAGGAGATTGTTTCAAGAATTATGTCACTGTGCTGTGCATTATAATGGAACTGATGACCAAGAAAATGTAGTTGCAGTCTAGCAGGGTTTTCACAATCATTTTGAGTAAGACATCACTGAAATAATTAGCTAGAGTAAGAGTTTCAAGGGTCAGGTCACCAAGAGTTTTCCATTCCCATTTACACCTTGTAGGGGATTTACAAAGATTTTGACATATCCACTGGTGTCCAAACACAGGCCAGTAGAGGTGAATGGAATTACCTTCTATATTTTTTATTTATGATAAATGATATGATCATAATATGAATGAAATAATTATTATTTATGATTCTCACAACATTGACCAATTACATTTGAATATCTCAACATGTTTTAGATAATTTCCCTATATCCTGACAGTAGAACATAAAACAGAAAATCTGTGAAAAATTCTGGTTCCTCTGGCTTCTCCTAGTCCTCCAGATGGAATCTACAGCACCTGAAAGAATACAACCAATCAGAACCAAGAAAGATAGCTGACTGTTGCTCATTGCTCATTCCCAGATTGTCAAATACAGACACTAGGAATGAGACTCAACAATCAACTTCTTTAAGTCGCAAAGCTGTCTATCTTTCTCGGCTCTGGTTGTTTTTCGTTCAGGCGCAGTGGATTCTTGCAAATGCCATTCCGAGGACCAGAAAGAGCCAGAGGAACCTGATCTTTTTGGAGATTATCTATCTCATGTACTACTGCCAGGATATAGTGAACATTTCAGCAAATGTTATTTTTATAAAGTTACCTAATGCAGCTTTAAAAAGAAATGATTAATTCTCAAAACTTTAGAGTAAAGTTTGTGGATTATCCCAAGGTAGCGGTATGTCATTTCTGGAAAATTATGTTGCAACTAAAATCTACTTGGCTTAGTAAAAGCATTATGATTGTAAATATTACTGTCTGAAAGCATTACTGGTACAAACAAACTCTATGGAAGTTTATTCTTGACCTTAGGAACAGTACAGTATGTGTGACAAAATGGGATCACGCTACTGGCAACATGGAAGAAGGGTTTCCTTTTATTTAAGTCTTTTTGTGATGTGTCTCTTTTGTATGCAGCAATTCCTTTTGATCAGACAATGTTCTCTTTTGGAAGATGATAAAAGCAACCCTGAAACATGATCCTTTTAAAGATCAACGGATTGTTTCCTCAAAGTTTTCAACTACATGTGGTCACATGATAACGCCTGAGCCAGCTCTGTTTACTGATGAGGACTGGGATGTAGATGAGAACTCTGAAAAAGCTAGTATAATTGAACCTTTGAGTTGAGATTGTTTTATGATTGTTTATTTATTATGTTCACAATGCATAAACAGCATTAAGAAATCAATTAGATTTTGGGTTAGTCTAATGGTTGTCTTTCTATATAAAGACCTGTCAGTAAATTTGAGAGTGACATCAGACTCTGATTTTGAGTTTTGGTATAGTGGTGGTACCCTTTTGTTTACATTTGGATCATGGATTGTGCGTATTAGTCAAGCAGACATGGACTGGGTGTTCTCTATTGACGTGATGCACTCCCTGGGGTCTGGCTTAAAGGCCAAGCTAAAGTAATGAAGTCATTCAGTGTTATGAATCTTGGCAAATCAAGGGTACCCATATACTCCAAAGATTTACCATTCATTTCTCTTGGAAAACATGGGAGTCGTGAACAAGAGAGTGAAAAAAGAGAGAGTGGGAGGTGAGGGAGAGCTCCGTCCAATGGAGCCAGGGTAAGAATTTATGGTCAGGAAGAGCGATGAATGTGTAATTTACGGTGCGTACTCTACCATTCCCCCTGCCCTCCCTTTTGGTAATGAGAAACGGCTGTTTTGTTGTAGGGCCAAGGCATGGTATACCCCCTCCCTTCTGGCTATGACACACCATTAGTTTTTATTTCTGTCTCTGCTTTTACGACCCCTGCCCAGGCGCCAGCATTTGGCCAGTGACCGGGACCATCACACCATCTAAGCTCTTCCACCTCCCAAGATGGCCTCCTGTAGCCCGAGGAAGGCCATACCATAACTACTGAGGGCTATAGATTGGAGATAAATAGCATCATACTCTCAGCTGATTTATTTATATATTTTACACAAAATGGTCAGATATAGTCCCGAGTGATCAATACTGACCTCGCTTGTAATGTCTTATACAAAAATAAATGATGAATGGCTGTTATCATTTCATCAATAACAGTGATTGTTATGATTAAATAATAATTCCTATTGATTGCAATTGGTCTGAAATAATAGTTTTGACCATTCTTTCATATAATATGGTTATGTAATTGTACTCTTGTTGAAGGAATGGCTGACATCTGAGAACATAGCATCATTAATGAAATCTGACCTGGCAAAAACACAAGTGGTGAGAAAATCAGACAGACTGTAAACAAGTTTATTCATTACCTAAACAGCTTTATTTGGAGGTAAAACCATAAGTGAGTGCACTTAAAATGTTGGTTAATCCCTCATTGTCAAAGTTTTATTTTATTGTACTTTCATTTCATTTTACTTTATTTTGTTGTATTGTTTTTAACACCATGTGGTAGATTCCACAACTAACTGTCTAACTGACTGACTGTTACTATTTCCCTTTCTTTTGTTTTTCTTCCAAGCAGTTTGGCTAACCTGGGGATTTGTTTAAAACCTGTATGATTATGTAACTCCTCGTGTTTCTTGCACCATCGGACTTTCCAGATCCCATCAAGTTGGCAAGTGTAAAGTTACAATAATCAATAGAAGGAAAAAAAGCCGTAGCCATAATAAAGTCTTTATGAGAGGTTGTCATTGAAATGTGCGCGTAAAATATGATGTATAGTGTATATGTGGCACTGGTATAGACTGTGTATATAACAATGGAGAAGTAATAAATAAATGGTGGATCAATTGCAGCCAAAATCAGGAAAGTAATTCTAACTGAAATCAGACAAACTCATAGCAAAATCAGTGTATGACTGAAGTTTCATCAGCTTCATCTGAACTTTATTTAGGCTTTCACAGAATAGGCTATACATGATGATACTACTACTTCTTTTGTTTGATGATAAACACAGTTTGACATATTCTGTATCACAATCCATAGTATGAATGAATAATGTGTGTAACTACTCCTGAAACTAATATTTTGTGTAAAGCAAACAGACTCATGGAAAAACATTCTAGGAAAAAAAAAGTCTCTGTATCTGCAATGTCATGAAGCCAGCTTTTGGAGTATATGTGTAAAATGCAATTGTTCTGAAACTCGAGCAGAAGGAAACATTACAGTTGTGCAAAATCTTCAGACCCTGTTGCAAACAGACATGATTACTGAGCAGCTGATGATTGGATGGCTTATATAATAATCAGTGGCTTGTAGTTACTGCATATTTGATATATCACTGTGCATTTACATTTCCTTCCTCTTGATTTCCAAACCCTATTTCTTCAATCTATGAGACCAATATTAACACATGTGCAAACGTAAACACACATGTACAAACATCTAAGTTCTGTCGACAAACAGCTTGATTCCGTGCAGAAATGCATACAAAGTACACAAACACCCAGACTTTAGGTAGAGACAAACACACGCACACACACACGTTTGCATGCACAAAGGCACACGTATGTAACCTTGTACACATGCAAATACTCAGGTTTTTATTCCTCGTTTTTCTGTGCAGAGTTATTTTCTGATACAAACACCAACATTTAATTTGAAACAAACATCTAAGCTATCAAATGGCAAAAGTTTGTGTCAAGACACCGGAGAATGATATGAGCTGAGCTCCCAGTAATCCTCCTCTACCTCTTCTCTTAGGCTTGCTTTGTAATCGATTCCCTCCTCAAAATAATATATAGAAGACCTTCTGTCCTCAACAACCACAAATGATTTCCAGTGCCTTTCTTTTTGTTTCATTTCACAATAGGAAATAAAGGTACACAGACTTAATACTATTCATTGTCTTTACATCACGTACAGCGGCCATTGAGAAAATCCATCTGCCACCTCTCACAAACATGAAAACAAATGAAGAACAGATTGTGATTAAACTCAGACTGGAACCAAATACATCATAGACCAGAAGAGACTGAAGAGACCCTTCATTCATTATCAGACTTCCAGCTTTAGTGCTGCATTTGAAACAAAGGAATCTGTTCTTAGTTCATGATGTGAAATAGGTCGGTTCATGGCACGAACCATTTCGAACCACAATCTTCAACGTGGCTTTGCAGTCCAACAGTGATCCCTCACAGTGGAATGAAAATCAACAAGTCTTTCTGAATATCACTAAGACACCTGAATCTTCCAGATATGTCCATCTACTCAAAAGGCTCAGAGAAGCCTTTTGTGTTGCAGCAATCCTCCAGTTCTCTTTGCATCTTCTACAACGCATAGCAGCATTAATCCAGCATTCCTTTATCACTTTGATCTTTGTCTAGGGCTGGTGCTGTTGGATGAGGCATTGTCTCTGTTTTTTTCTCAGCCCCATCCAGCAGGCGATGGAGTTTAGGAGACAGAGCTAGTTGTGATGCTGGGAAGAGTGGTGGTCCTGCTCTGGCCTTTTCTCCTCTTCCCTCCTCCTCCACCTCCACCTCCACCTCCTCCTCCTCCACCTCCTCTCTCCATATTCAGCAGCTGTCTGAAAGGAGTCCGGTCTGGTCCATTGAAGCTGCAGTCAGGTTTGAGGAGCCCCCCAGGGAATCCTGGCTGACACCTCAAAGGTTTGGATTCAAAGATCCACAGAGAGCCCCTTCAAGGCCCCTTCAAGGC